CTTCTCCCTCTCCCTCAACCCCTCCCCCTGCTGTGTGCTCTCTCGCTCTCTCTCTCTCTCTCAAATAAATAAGTAAAATCTTTTTTAAAAAAGTGTAATACTTGGGCTCTCTCTCTCTCTCTCTGGTTAAGCGACTGCCTTCGGCTCAGGTCATGATCCTGGAGTCCCGGGATCGAGTCCCACATCGGGCTCCCTGCTCAGCAGGGAGTCTGCTTCTCCCTCTGACCCTCTTCCCTCTCATGCTCTCTGTCTCTCATTCTCTCTCTCTCAAATAAATAAATAAAATCTTAAAAAAAAAGTGTAATACTTATCAAAGGCCCCAGTGTACCCTCATGCAACATATTAGTTGCAAAAAAAAACTACATGTACACTTTAAATGTAATAATACCTAGAGTGGAAAGAAATGTCTTTTTGATCTGGGAGGAGGACAATATATTTTAGGTCCTCCTACACTCACAGTAAATTGGCAGAATTATAACACCCATGAGAAGCCAGTACTTTTCCAAGTAAATGGTGAGGTTACGCTAAGTGCTCTGAGGCTTCCTCTGGCTGTCTTCTTCATGAAGACCAGAGGGCGTGGCTGTGACTAAGTGCGTTCACCCCACGCGCCACGAATACATGTGCAGTTTTGTACTGAGAATGTGTCTTTCAAAATAGGCCTCCAACCAGAGACCAAAAGACAAGTGTCCCTCTGCCTGCATGAGTACGTCCACGACTGATGGAGTTATGCAACAGATGACATTCAGTCCCAGCCTAGAAAATAATCGTTCTTTCTTTGCTGAGTAATTCCCAGACGTCACTCCATAAGGTGAAAGAACATGAAAACCAGCAGAGCCGGGCCGCAGGGGATTCCTACACTTGCAAGTTCTGCTCTCCTGCAGACTGAGCTAATAGGCTTTGTGACACACCAAAAAATGACCAAGAAGAAACAAACACCACTAGGCCTGATTCGTGAACCTTTGGGTGGATGATCACAGATTAGGACTTATTTTTTGCTACTATTGTTTCTTGAGGTATAATTTACATATGGTAGAATGAAATATTTTCAGGTGTATCGTTCTCTGAATTTTGACAAACTTAGACGATCAGATAGACACCATCACAATCAAAATTCCCTCACATCAGAAAGTTCCCTTGTGCCCCTTTGTAGCCAATGCCCTCCCTTTACCACCAATCTGATTTCTGTCCTTATCATTTTGTCTTTTCTAGAAGGTCATATAAATCAATCAAACAGGAAATAGCCAATGTGTATTTGACTTCTTTCACTTAACAAAATGCTTTTGAGACTCATCCATGTGATTGTATGTATGACTACTTCATTCCTTCTTATCGATGAACAGTATTCCACTTATAGATAGACCACAATTTGTTTATCTATTCACAGTTCAGGGACATATGGGTTGTTTCTAGTTTTTAATGGTTATGAATAAAACTGCTACTAAAATTTGCTTATAAGTTTTGAGAGGTCATTTTCTTCATTTCTCTTGTCTAAATACCCATGAGTGGAATTGCTGGCTTACATGATACATGAATATTTAACTTTGTAAAACACTTCCAAACCATTTTGTAAAGGGACCATATCATTCCCGCCAGCAACATATGATAGTTGCAGTTCCTTGGCATCCTCCTCAGCACTAGATGTCAGTTTCCTTGATCTGAGCCATTTTCATAATTATTCATGAACTTTTGATCTAGGCTGAGCTATAAAATTAAACATTCTGAAAAAAAAAACAAAACATTCTGCTAGCTACATATACTGGGTTGAATATGTCTCCCTCAAATAAAAAAAAAACTGGAACCTTAGAATGTGACCTTATTGGGAAACAGGATCTTTGCAGATGCAATTAGATTTGTTTAGATGAGGTCCTCCTGGATTAAGGTGGGCCTTAATTCCAATGGCTGGTGTCATTATATGAGGCCATCTGAAGACACAGAGACCCACAGAGGAGACCACCACGTGCCCATGGAGGCAACGGATGGAGCTAGCTGCAACAAGCCGAGGAACATCAGAAACCACCAGAAGCTGGAAGAGACAAGGAAAGATTCTTAGAGCCTCTGGAGGGAGTGTGGCCCTGCCAACATCTTGATGTCAGACTTCTAGTCTCCAAAACTGTGAGAAAATGAATTCCTGTTGTTGTCAGCCACCTAGTTTGTCATAGTTTGTTACAGTAGCCCTACGAAAATGATACACTATAAACACAATTTACGAAATACAAGAATACAAAGAACTTTAGAAGGTTATATTTGGCTTACATAAAGCTTTCTGAGGATAAAAATATAATAATTGTGTGAAAAAATAGTTTTAAGGGTACAAATATATCATTAGCAGCCTAAATTACTAACCGCTATAAACTACTTGGACTAAGTCTTGAATAATCTATAATTCAACTTTTTATTCATCAGGCTGAACTTCTGTTAGTAAGTCCAAATTAGTGAAGACCTACTTTTTATCAAGAATCAAGGTCAGTCCAGAACCAGAGTCCCAACAGTTCCTAACCTATGGCTATTGAATATGTGAGACCCACATTTTGCAGACTGTTCTATAAAGGATCATGAGATAGACTTTGTTTTAGTTTGGTAGTTTTTGTGGTATAACGTATTGCAACCTTACAGGCATTGTAAAATAATTTGTTCATTTCCCCTGCCACAGGACAGAGACTAGTTTTGAAAACAAAACTGTGGCAGAGCCAGTCTTGGCTATTTTTTTCATAAAGTACACTTCACATTTCAGCTTTCACACAAGTCTCTTCCAGCTCCTGAGGAAGAAAATAATCCAGCCCTCAAACCCCTATCAGACTTCCTTAGGTAGGCAGAGGGACCCCCTTCCCACTCCAAAACTCATGAAAGAAGTTGATTCTTCTTGTACTCCATTACTCAGAAACATATTACTAGCTCGATGATGATTATCTTAACTCAATAACATAAAATAAAGGAATAGTCCATCAATAACAGTCAGTAGCAGGTTGCGGTTTATGCCACCATTATGTCCTCAGTAGTTGTTACAACAGGACAGAAGTTCAGGCAACAGGGCAGGAGACCTGGTACAGATGTAAGCAGGAATTCCATTTTTTTCACAATCATTCCTCTTTATACTATGAAAGCCTGATTTTTTCCTCCCATTACTGACATGAGATATACAACAAGCCTATCAGTCGAACACCACATGTTGTTATATGGAGATCTGGGAAGAGTCTCTGGCCTTTGCTGAGCTCCTCCTGAGTCATTTTCCGTATCATGTGCTGTGGGGAACAGCTGTACCATGCCTACATCACTGGGGTAGTTGGTGAACACAATCACGCATTCCATAAAAAGTTTGCAGAGTAAGGCCAAGTGTCATCACATGAACAGAGTCCAAAATTGTTCAGTGACCCAGATAAAAGTCTGGTCTTCACTCCCCCTGCTCATTAGTCAGCATGCACTGTTCTTTGAGTGTCTGGGAAAACACAGGGTTGGCCTATTGGTTGGGGCAGCGAGGGGGTGGGGGAGACAAGGACTTATAATATTGGACCACCCCGTTCCAAGCTTGGGCAACTTCAAAGGACAAGGCTTAAGGAATTTGGAACAACCTGTACAACTTCACTGTCGCTGGCTCTGGCAAAACACAGAAACCAGCCTCTCTAATCCCCACCCCACCTGAGGAGAACCATAAACTCAGGTTACTACAAATAAAAGGTCATGGAAGAGTGCCCAGATGCCCTTTGGGATGTTCGATGCAATCAGAAGGGAGCGATTGGGGTAGGGGCTGTCCTTCCACAAGAAGTTGAGGGAAAGAGAAAAAAGCCATGACCAAAATGTTTGCCTTGTTTAAATATCAGCAAGAATGTCTATTCATTTTACAGTTCCAGTACATTAGACAGGTAGCTGGGGGGCAGGAGCTCCAGAGAGGAGCTGAAGCCGCTGGCGCTGCTCTATTTTATGGGCTGGCTAGATGTTTAAACTTAGATTGTGACAGCCAGGCACATATTATTTTCCATTGCAGGGTGGTCAGAATTAGGCCTGGGGACCCTGTAGATGAAGAAATCCTTCCAGGGAGCTCAAGGTCATTGTTACAACTTATGGTAAGTTGAGATCAAATTGACAAACCATGCCCTTGCCCACACACAAACAGGGCCCCTAACAAACCAGAAGACTTCCTGAGAGAGGAAATGAGACCTGATGTTTGTAGTCTGCGTATTTGGAAACAAAGCTAGAAGCAGTCTCCAGTCTAGATGAAACCATCAGAGTAGCTGGTCAGCCTCTACCCCTGGGCAAATTACCCTACTCCTGAATCTGGCTTGGTTGATTTCGAGCAGTTTCAGGTACCACTGAGACCTTACACTGCAAAAACCTGGTGCTTATGTTGCAAAAACCTGCAATATTGGGGCTGTAGAACTGATCGAATTAAACCCTTCTAAATCAGATTTTTCTGAGATAAAGCAGGTCACACCAGCTAATAAAGAGTTAAAATGTCATTGTCCCATCGACTTTCTGGGGCGTTCAAGTGTTCCTCAGAGCAAAGTCCAGGGTACGGAGTCACCAATTTTTGATAAGAAAAAAACGGAGTAAGAAAAAAACCTTGAGAGATCAGATAAGAAAATAAAAGTACCTTCAAAAAAAAAAGTTAAGTGAAAAAAAACCACTGGGGTAGGGCTTTATACTCATTCTACATCACCGACAACACAACTGCCCGGCAAGACAAGGCCACACCGCAGGAGGATGTGTGACCAGGCAGACAGGGGACCTCCGCGAGGACGCAGCAGCGGCCATGTTGACCCTCGCGACCCCTGGGGCCTCGCGGCGACCCTCTGCTGCCGCAGGCTGTGCCCCCTCCACCCTCCAGACTCAGGCAGCGCCCGCCCCCGGGGCCCACTGATTGGCAGGCGGTGCAGCGACTCCTAGGGCCCGGCTTTGGTTGGGCAGGTCCAGCGGAGGGCACCGTCCTACCCCAGCCAATAGGAGGCAAGAGGCGGGACCTGCGGCCGGGAGGCGGTGCTGGTCAGGTGCTCCGCGCCGAGGCTGCGTGCAAATGAGCCGCTGCAAGTTCAAGGGGCGGTCCTCGCTTCCGGTACCTCCCAGCTATTGCCCCCGGGTCTGCGTGAGGGACCCCCCGCTCCTGACCCTCCGTCCTCTTGTCCCAAGCTCATGCAGACCGTCCGGATCGATGCGAGGGTAAGGGTTCAGGGGAGTGGGCTGCTTCCCTCCCGGGGACCCACACGCTCCTGTTGTCCCCTCAGACCACCCCCCCCTTTCCTCTGCACACGCACACAGCCCACGTGGGGGCACCTGCGGGCCTTGGTGGGCGGGAGGTCTGCGAATTGCGAACGTATTCAACGTCCCGACCCTGCTCAGTGATTAGGTTGGAATCCCAGGGGAAAAGGTGGGGCACTAACTCGTTCCCTCGACGTCTAGTCCCTCTAAACACACCGACTCCTCCTTCACTTGCCCTTTCTCCGCGCTTCTTGGCGCCCCTTCCCTCAATTTCCAAGGCTGCCTGTGGGGGAAGGATTGGAGGGGAGGAGAAACTGGAAAGCAGCCCGGTGAAATCTGGACCCAGAACTAGGAATTCCACTGCACTGTGCAGCAGTTTGTGCGTGGAAAAGAACGAAATCTGCTATTTCTTTCATCCCCACCCCCATCTCTCTCTTTATTACTTTATGTCATCGATGTGATGATATTGATTCTTCTTACCAAACATTCCTAAGCTGTAGACAGCACTTAGCCTTTGTTTATTTTCTTTTGTCCAGGAAATCAGTTCTTCCCTGCTTACCACAGTTGCTGAATTAATTTACTTAGGGGAGCGATTCTCGGCTTTTTGGCTAAGATCAAGGTAGTATCTGTTCTTACCAGTTTAATTTACTTAGAGGAAAATCAGGTGTTTCATGTAGTTGATTTTTTTTTAGCCTTAAATTATGTTTGTTTCATAACAGCTTTCCTTCCTTGTGTTAGGAAGGTGAAGAAGAAGGGAAAAGGGAGAGGAGACAGCATCCTCAGCCAGATGTTAGTAAATATAGTTGGAGTTCCTTATTGGAACTGATTTTGATTCCTTCCAGAATTGGAAACATTATTGCCATTTGAAAAATAGTTTTTAAATTCAATTTTTGAAGCATTGTCTGGAGACCAATACCTAACGCAATTTCAGTTTAAGTAATGTTCTAGGTATGGTGAAATCATAGTTAAAAATTACTGTATCTGAAAGCAAAGCAAGCACACCAAGCAGTTTTTATTTACCCATACCTATAATATAGCAAGCAAGGCAAGACAGGATCTGTTTTTGAGGTTTAAAATATCTTCAGCATATTCAAATTAGCAAGGTGTCAAAAGCTGAATTCAAGAGACTTCTTGGCACAGAAGTGTGGATAGATCCAAGTTTTGGTGGGCTTACAAATACCTTCGTGCAAGAATGGACAAGAAAAGGAGAGAACCGAAAATACTTGCTTGATTTGCAAGCCCAGTGAGAGCTCACAAAATTTACATACGTGTTGTTTATCCATATTGCCTTTTGTTAGCTTTCTTGAATAGAATAAAAGCTTTTTAGATGTATATGCAGATTTAAAAAAAAAACCAACCAACCAACAACCTTGATCCAAAGGGAGTCTTTAATCCCGGCAAGTGCCTTTTCCACACATATCACTAAGATTAAATAATTGACGAATTTTAGCTTTCAGAAAGTCAACACCAAATTTCAGAATTATGTTTCTGTTCATACAGAAACTGTTTTAGTTTAAAGAAGGCTGTGCTTTAATTATGAAATAAATGAATGCAGTTTACATTTCACAAGTATATTTGAGTATCATAAATTTTATGTCACTTCAAAAAACCAAGTTCATCTATTTTCTCTTTTCTTGAATAATATCCCTAACCGTGATGAACCAAACGTAAGGCTTTGGCTTTGAAAAATAGAAATGTATATGTTTTTTTTTTAAACACTATTATTGTATTTGCTAATGGTACTTCCTTGTTTCTAGGTTCCTGTATTTGGTCTAACCATAAAGATAAATACATTCATAGATATTAATTTGACTATATAAACTTTACTAGCCAGAAGTCAGAAGTCTGGGTCCCCTGCAAAAGTTTCTGAAAAGTTTTTGTTTTTCTCAAAAGTAAATTATATCATATTTTAAAATGATATTTGGTGAGTTTACTTAATTACTTTGAGAAATGTTTTGATAAATTCTTGGAAAGTAACAGTTTCTAAAATGCAACTAAATTTCTTAGCTTTATTATACAGGAAGCCCCAGGTCTCTTGTTTAAGATGGAGCAACATAATTCTTCCAGGCTGTGATTTATTATATGACTGGGATTACTAAGTACCATCACTGTCAGTTTTGGGTAAGGTATACTGAAAAAAAAGATATTGCCATTCACTTCTGTATGTTTTTTTATACAGATTGTCTTACACTGAAAAAAAAAAATACTTTGAAAATGACTTCAAAACTTTTTTTGGTGTCCTTCATACTTGCTGCACTAATACTCTCAGTTACATTTTCTCTCCAACCAGACCAGCAAAAGGTTCTACTGGTTTCATTTGATGGATTCCGTTGGGATTACTTATATAGAGTGCCAACACCCCATTTTCATTATGTTATGAAGTATGGTGTTCATGTGAAGCAAGTTACTAATATTTTTATCACAAAGACCTACCCTAACCATTATACTTTGGTAACTGGCCTCTTTGCGGAGAATCATGGGATTGTTGCAAATGACATGTTTGATCCCATTCTGAATAAATCTTTCTCCTTGGATAACATGACTATTTATGATTCTGAGTTTTGGGAAGAAGCGACGCCAATATGGATTACAAATCAGAGGGCAGGACATTCTAGTGGTGCAGCCATGTGGCCTGGAGCTGATGTGAAAATACATAATAGCTTTCCTACTCACTACATGCCTTACAATGAGTCTGTGTCATTTGAAGATAGAGTTGCCAAAATTATTGAATGGTTTACATCAAAAGAGCCCATAAATCTCGGTCTTCTTTATTGGGAAGACCCTGATGATATGGGCCACCACTTGGGACCTGAGAGTCCACTCATGGGGCCTGTCATTTCGGATGTTGACAACAAGTTGGGATATCTCATACAAATGCTGAAAAAGGCCAAGTTGTGGAACATTCTGAACCTAATCATCACAAGTGATCACGGAATGACCCAGTGTTCTGAGGAAAGGATAATAGAACTTGATCAGTATCTGGATAAAGACCACTATATCCTGATTGACCAATCTCCAGTAGCGGCCATCTTGCCAAAAGAAGGTAAGTCTGACTGAGTGGTGATCTGGGGCTGGGGCTGGATGTGCCCAGTGCAACTGAATGGGGAATTTTTTTTCTGTATCTTCAAAATATACTTGCCTGTGTCATGGTAATATTCTAGGGTTTAATCCTTAGACTCTGAAAAGACAAAATCTTTTTTCCCAGCATGTAATTTTTCACTTTTCCCAAGAATTTTGAAATTGATGTTCTCTCTGTATTTATGGCAGATGGATTTAACCATCTTGGAACCACCAAAGATGATGAAAGCTATAGCCTCCTTTCTCAGAAAAATTGAGATGGAAAGAGACATACAGAATTTGCATGCAATTACAGTGATTTTATGGAAGCCCTAAATTTAGCCTACTGTGGATCCTTTTGTAGGACCTGCTTATTAGGGAAGCAGTGCAGTAGAGGAAGGAGAAAGCATGGGTCAAGCTGAAGATTTCTTTTTCCTGCTTATAAATCGAAGTCATAACAATACGTTGAACTTCTTACAAACCTTTCCTCAAAGCCTCATAATTGTTGTCACCTAAGTGTTACTTCCGTTTTAAAGACAGGTGAACTAGCTCAAGTTTAACCTCCCCAGATCACAAAGGAAGTGCAGAGCAAGACTCAAGACTTCTGACTTCTATTTTATCACCATCTAGAGTTAATCTAGATATCAAATGAGAGAACAGATTGCCTTATATCCCTCACAAGGGAATCAAGAGGATCAAATGAAACAGCGAATGTTAAAATACACATGTGCACCTGAACACAAACTTTTAAAATTTTAACAAATTTAACAAATAACAAGTCTTTTGTTGTTTGAGGAAATCACATTAACTCTTCAATTTTACTTATAAAATTGAATGTGTCCTGTGTTGGGGTGTTGCGAGGCAGGGAGGAAGCCCCAACAAATGGATTTGAAAAACAAGAAAAGGATTAAAGACGCTGCATTTGAAGTTACAGGGAGTACTTCTGCCACACCTCCAGGGTGTTAAAGAACTTTTCCGTTTCAGAAGCTGTGTTCCGGTCTGCCCTTTCTCAAGTGCTGCCTCACCCTCCAGTCAGACATTGTCTCTCTGTGCTCCTAATTATCAGAACTTAGCTCTTCGTTTTCATCTGAGTAAACATTTTACTTAGTGCCGCCAATTGGGGGTGTGTGTGTGTGTTTGTGTGTGTGTGTGTGTGAAGTCTTTACATTAGAGATTTCTAGTTCGTGTGTGTGTGTGTTTGTGTGTGTGTGTGTGTGTTACGTCCAGCAGAAGATGAATCATTTCTGTTTCCCCCTCAAGATTCTTTCCTCAAGGGGGTAGGAGTCTTCAGGTGTCTGGCTGTATTTCCCTATGTTCTGCCCGCTGGTGGTTTACCTCAAGAAGACACATTCATTGGCCTCTGTTCCCTGGGTGGTTTCTTTGATTGTAACAGTGAGTGCCTGGTTCTGAGTGCCTCTCCGTATCCTTCCTCTTTGAGGTAAATTGGATGAAGTCTATGAAGCCCTAGCTCATGCCCATCCTAATCTTACTGTTTACAAAAGAGAAGAGATTCCGGAAAGGTGGCGTTACAAGTACAACCATCGAATTCAACCCATCATAGCCGTGGCTGACGAAGGGTGGTATATTCTACAGAATAAGTCAGATAACTTTCTGTGTGAGTATGTTGCACCGTTTCTCCCCATTATGCTCGTTGTCTGTTGGAGTGGAGGCTGTGGGTAATAATACAGCAGTGTATTTACTAATCAAATAACTGGTGTCTTACAATAATAGCAAATCACAGATCCTTGGGACTTTAAAAAGAGGTAAGCCCCTAAACATTCATTTCTCTGGAAGTCATCAGACCAAAGATATGCAGAGTGACCTCAACGGCTAATTATAGCCATCATGTTCCTGAGAAAAACCTAATTGGAAATTTATAAATTGAATGATTTTCTGCATCTGTTTTATGTTCTAATTTCATAATAATGTAATCCCTATTTTTATTTGCAGTTCTTAGCTTTCTAGTTTCCTTTGCCCTTCTGGCTCTTCCAGATACACGCCACCTTTGTTTTAACCCTTGGAAACACGCAAAAAAGAAGTGCATATGGCATGGAGGATCGTATATCAAAATGTATTTTTCTAATACCTAGTGATATAATTTTGGAGTTAATTTCCACCGGATTAATCTTAGATATATTGGACATCCCATGTGAAATTCAAACATGCAAAAGAAGGGGCTTTCTGCCATCCTTAACGTGTAATTTCTCTCTTATATAGCTTCTAACAAGGTAGTCAAATGGAAAAGCCATCCACAGGATTTTACTCATCTTTAATGGGCCCGTCACGAGCCTATTTGCTCTTTAACTCCCCGCTTTGTATTGCCAGGGACTGACTTCTACAGACTAAATTTCCCAGGCTCCTTTGCCAAGTGGTTTCTGGTTAGATGTGGCCAAAATTGTAGAAGACACCCACAGGAGTTTGGGAGGCAGGAGTTGGGAAGAAGCCAGGGTATTTGCCCCGCACATTCTCTGTCTTAGGTGATGTCACTCAATGGTGACTTCATTTCCTCTGTGATCTCAGGTCCCTCTGGACAGCTCCTCTCTCTACAGCCTCAGCTCCTACTGGGCAGTCCGGGCCTTTGGGCTCTGGTAACACCACGTCCTCCCTTCTGTCCCTCCAGCCATCAGGGGGCCAAGGGGCTGTTCCTAATCCCTTGCCATCATCCTGTGGGTGCTTCTCAGCTCTTAGCACTTTCCCCATATGAACTGCCATCTGGTGGACTACCTTGCACGCCTGCGCCTTTGTTGGTGGACATAGATGTTAACGCAACAACTGGTCAGCTCCCCGGGGGCTTGTTTCTCCTCTGTTACTGGGATAGTGAAGGAACCACATTGTATCGAAACTACACAGGGATGCTTTCTTCAGCCTTGGTCTGTGATATATCTAGGAGATGTACAGAAATGTCCTCGGAGGTAGAATTGGGTTCCTATCATATTTATTGACAAAAAGAAAAGCGGTTGCCTGATCATGGCATTCGTGGTACACATGGGAGTTTCAGTGGCAGATACGGGTGCCTGGTTTCTGGCTCTTAACACAGGTTTTACATACAGAGAGTGATCTGTAAGCCGATATTTACTCACACCAGGGAAGCTGTTTTAAGAAAGCCTTTAAAAAATAATCTTTTGGGGGCGCCTGGGTGGCTCAGTCGGTGAAGCATCTGCCTTCGGCTCAGATCATGGTCCCAGGGTCCTGGGATCGAGTCCTGCGTCGGGCTCCTTGCTCCGCCAGGAGCCTGCTTCTCCCCTCCCTTTGCCCCTCCCCCTGCTTGTGCTCTCTCTCTCTCACTTTCTCTTTCTCTCTCTCTCAAAATCTTAAAAATAATTTCTTTCAAAAAAATTTCTTTGGCCATGAGAATAATTGCTGCTTTTATATGTTCAGATTCTCATGTACAAAAAAAATAGCTCTTATGGTAGAGGTGTTGCTCAAAAAAGGGCTGCTATCTCTGAGGAGATTTGTACTTTCATACTTAATGTAAATCTAAGGGGCTCTCTTGAAATTTTGGTGTGGTGAATTACAATTACACAATAGATGGGTCACACCTGTTTTTGATAGAAAGCCTTAATAACGCTCCTGTTTATGTTTTATTATGTTCAACATGATTATTTCTTCAACAAATAAATATATGAAATAATATTTCTTCAACAAATAATTAAGTGTTGGCCAGTATATTCCTTCTCAACCCGAGTTCCACAAGAGAATGAAGTCCTAATGTCCGAAAGCAGTGGTTCTCAAAATATGTTCCCTGTAGGGCGTCCAGGTGGCTCAGTAAGTTAAGCGTCCAACTCTTGATCTCAGCTCGGGTCTTGATCGCAGGGTTGTGAGTTCAAGCCCCGTATTGGGCTCCATGCTGGGCATGGAGCCTACTTAAAAAATAATAAAAATAAAATGTTTTCATGCTTCAATTTTATATCTCTTGATAAATCAGAAGACTTCTAAAGCTTTTACTTTATTTGTAGCTGCACAAGCACACAGTGCTAAATTGTATTTTGATCTGAACCACCAGTATCGAGATTTTACCCAAAAGTACTGATCTTTATTTATCCATCATGGATTATAGCTGTCACTAGGGGTTTGATTTTTGTGGTGTCTTTTTTCTTTATTAATTGTGTTTCCCCTTTTGTTGGTAATGATGAATTTACTGTCTTTATGACTAAGAGCACCTTTATCCCTTCATCTTTAAAACATAATTGAAACAAGATAGATACCTAACAAGTAGTGAATATTAGTTTACCTGCCACCAAAAAAAAAATAAAGAAAAAAATCACTTTCATTTTCCTCTGACTTGGCTCAGCTTTGCTGTTTACCCCTCCTCCTCTGCTGTTTCAGGTCGCTTCCACCTGTGAGAAAGATTTGTCATCACTTTGACTTTCCATTTTCTAAAGTGAATGATGATGTTGACAACAGCAGAGATTGTTCCTAAAAGATTATTTTCTTTTAAAAGATCAATGAGTTAAACTTTGCATTTAAGTTCAGAATTGGACAGTACAACAGTTATTTTCATTTTAATTCCCTCCAGTGGGCTAACATATTCATTCATGTTATCTTTCCAGTAGGCAACCATGGTTATGATAATGCATTAGCAGACATGCATCCAATATTTTTAGGCCACGGTCCTGCCTTCAGAAAGAATTTCACGAAAGAAGCCATGAACTCCACAGATCTGTACCCTCTGCTCTGCCACCTCCTCAACGTCACAGGCATGCCACACAACGGATCATTCAGGAATGTCCAGGATCTGCTCAGTTCAACAAGCCCGGGAGCACGTCCTCACACACCAAGTCCTACGCTCCTCCATGGTAGTGTCAAGCCCGGAGAGGATGAGCATGAGGAGTCCTATGCTTATTTTCTAGGGGTGTCTCTCGGCAGCATTTTGGTGATTGTATTTTTTGTAATTTTCATTAAACATTTACTTCACAGTCAAATACCTGCCTTACCAGACATGCAGGCTGAAATAGCTCAACCGTTGTTACAAGCCTAATGCTACTTTGAAGTGGAGATGGTGTACTTATTTCAGTGTTTAAAGGTTTCAGATTCTAGGAAACCAGTTTCAGGCATTTGCCCAGATCATTAGGCAGTTATATACATAGACAGGCGCACACACACACACCAGAAAGGATTAAAGTGGGGAAGTATGAATCTGTTATTCTCTCTGGCTTAGGGGTAGATAAAATCCTGCTTTATTTGGACATGGCACATATATATATTTAGCAGCTTTGCACTATTTAAAGTACCTTATGTATTGTACTTTAAATTACTCTCCTAATGGGTACTTTTATATGAAATGCACTTTACTGATGATTATGTCTTACAATTTGGTTGAAAAAGACAAATTTTTTTCTGCCCACATCACAGAATACTTGTTATTTGTTGTTAAAACTGAATGAAATTTCAAATAATTCTGAAGAATGTCAAAATCTGTCTCCTTAAACCAGGAGTGCAAAAAGAAAGTCAAAACTGTTGGAAATTAAATGCGACAACCTTTGTACATCGAATTTTGGAGAGATGCATTCCCAACAGCAGGATGCATCTGTGGGCATTCCTTCTCATACTTCTTTCTAAAAGTCATGGGTTTTCATTTTATTTTTCTTAAAAAAAAAGATTCAAGTACTTACGGAGTCATTCTAATAAACATACCATATCTGTCATGAAATTCATGATTGCTGTTTTCTGAGGAGTCATTTTGCTCTGATTCTATAATAATGAAGACACCGTGATATCCGTGTCCTTCCTATGTAGTCTGCTGTGAACAGAAGCCATTGGAGACCATCCCAGCAATAAGCTTTTCTTCTTGTTCTGTAGTTATTTGCTTCTTTGAAAACTAAATCACTATTAATCACATTAAAAATCATATAAAATATGTTTTCTTTTTGGTAGCATGTAGTAAGAGAGCACGAGCATCTTTAAGACTTGAGCATTTGCAGATCCAGTCCCAAGAGAGCACAAGCTATGTTAGGTAAAATGTAGGCCACTTGATCCACTAGAAGGGCTGTGCGGAGCTAGGGAAGGAAAATTAGGTGGGACCTTGTGTGAGATGTTCCCACTGCCCCTAGAGCAGTGCTGAAGGGTGCCTCATGGCAGAAATCAGTGAAATAGCTCTTAGCGGGGACAGGTATTGAAACAAGAGGAGCTGAGATCATAGCCTCAGTTCATGAAATAGTGGGACACCCACTCACCGGGTGTTCAGAGGCATCAAAGATGAAGTCAGGTTCACAGACGTCTGTCTGGTCACTCAGCTCCTCTCGTTTCAACCACCAAAGCTGTGCTTTGGATCTCTGAAGTAGTCAGGTTGGGGGGACCTAGGGTTTACCTGTCGTTTCTTAGAGGAAAGAGAAGACCCTGGGAAGAACAGCTTTCTTTGAAAAAAAAATTATATAGACAGATGGCCCATAGATGATATTGTGATTTTGTGTATATTAATGCACCAACTGGCTCATGATTAGGTAAAATGGTATAGGTATTCTAGAAAGAAAAGGTAAAGCAGATATAAAGAACAAAAGTAGTTTCACCTTCAAAAATATAGTTGAATTTAAGTACTATTTAGAATAAAGTGAATGCGTTATTTTTTAAATGATACCAATAAAGAAGTTTGGCCCTTGATTCTCATTTCATTACAAAGCCTTTTAATCAAATAGAATGGAATTCCTGGACGTGTACTGACGTTAAAAAGCTGAAAAGTTAGATGGTAGATGACAAACTCAAGAATTCTTGTCTCTGAATGAGACATTTTAGAACCTCAGTGGCCACTCCTCTTGGCTTGCTGCATAGCTATGAATTTTACCAGCGTTATTGAGATGCCAGGATAATGACCGAAAGATGAAATTGGTCGATTTAAACGCATTACTGTTTAAATGCTGTCTGTACATTTAAAAATTGTTGCATTAAATTCATTGTAGAATTGCCTCAGTGGTAAGAGGAAAGCAAATGCTGTACCATTGATGAAATCATTAAAATTCTGATCTGAATATTGTATTACTGCATGGTTTCTTTTAGTTACACGTACTTAATTTCCTGTAAAATATCAGCAGGAGAGTTTACCTGAAGGAAAGGAAAATTTTAAATTTCGCTGGGACATCTAGTCACTCATCACACCTTGAGAGCTTTTTTGTTGTTTTTTTCTGCACATCTGCATTGTCAAGCTTTGTATGCCCTGAACACAAATTAGCATATAGAAATAAAATTTAGGCTAGCTAATCTTACTAATTGTAAGTGAGAACTTTTTTAAGGTCAGAAGAATGCAGTACCTCCCCTCCTCCAACCCCACCATTTTTGCTGAACATCACCCATCAACCATTTTGTACAATCTATTAATTGATAAGATTTGTCTTATTCACTGTATGTTTTGCAATTTCTTCTCCCTTTACCACCTGACATTGAAATTTAAACCTGCTTTTCAAAATGCTCTCTCACCTCTTCAGGTAAAACTAGGATCCCATTAACTTCAGTTTCTTACAAGAACCTATTACCTCTAGAAAATCTAATGGAGGTACTAGCTCTTCAAGTTGGTAAATTTTTCTAGCTGTTCATTACCTAAGGGGGACAGACTCGAGAATCCCGAGAGCCGGGAAGGATCTTAGGGACCGTTCAACCCCCTTGACAGCTGTGGAATGACGCGCATGCCCGTAGGAATGTCTGCTGGAAGCAGGATCCAAGATCAGATCTGATGCGCACTGGGTGGGACAGGACTTCAACAGAATGTATGTTGAGGCGACACAATTCAGTGCATTTGGCACTCATGTTAGTTGGATGTTGAACCTTCTGACTTGGTTGATTGTTTATCTCCTTGAATATTTCCCAACTCTGTTGCTGTTACACCACTTGAGAGACTTCATCTTCCAAGCCGTAGCCTTTTCATTTTTTTCTACACATTAAAAGTCATATTTTTTAGTTTTCCCAAGTTCTTGCTTGTTCTGTTTCTTTGTAATACTATATTATTTATTTTAACTTCCTTAAAACATACTCAAAGGTGTACAAAGGGTAAATGAGGCCAATTATCAGAAAGTGAGCAAATCCATGTAACTGTCACTTTAGAGGAGAGAGAGAAAATACAACATTGCCAGTTCTCCAGAAAGATCCTCGGTTCTCTTCCCAAGCACTCCCTCCTCCTTCCGGCTAAAGGGGACTCTGTCCTGACTTGGAATGCAATAGAATAGCTTCCCCTATTTTAAATGTTATCTAAATGATCGATATGACATTTTTTTCTAAGACTTCATTTATTTGCGAGAGAGTGTGCAAGAGTGGTGGGGAGGGGCAGAGGGAGAGGGAGAAGCAGAATCCCCCCTGAGGTGGGGTGGGGGAGGCTCAATCCCAGGACCCTGAGATCACGACCTGAGCCCAAGGCAGACGCTTAACCAACTGAGCCACTCAGGTGCCCCAATACGATACACGTTTATGTTTGTTTTTTTTCACTCAAGATTATGTGAGATTCATCCATATTCTTGTGTGTAGCCCTGCTTTATTTCCATTGCTTCATGGAATGACATTATATGAATATACCACAATCTTATTTATGTATTCTGGTTTTGGATATTTTGATCATTTCCAGTTAGATGTTACTATGAATAATGCTGCTATGAGTATTCTTTTACATGTCTTTTGGTGCATATATGTATACATTTTTGTTGGCTATATTCTTTATATCCATGATTTAGCTAAGTTTTCCCAAAAGCAGAGTCTGAGACACAGGCCTGTATACAGGCAACTTTTGTGTGAATTGATCACCAGAAGTAAGAGTGAGGAACAGGGAGTGAAAGAGCTGCAGAAAAGCCTATACAAGTGTAAGTCCGAGGATTGACCACTGTCAGGATTGGTTGGAGCTCAGTCCCGCAGCACCTTCGGAGGAGACTTATGAAATAAATATCAGAACTGTCTGCCTGAGAAATGCAAGAGGGAAGCAAAGCATTTATCCATCAGCTTCCCAATCCCGACCCCCTCCCCCATTAAGAGTGGCTGCATGGGTAGGAACTCCACATACTTCTGGGTAGTGCATGCACAAGTGTAAAATGTGACCTCATAGGCATGCAGTGCTGTAGTATCTGGGCCAGGAAGAACGAGGCTGAGCATTGTCAGGTTGCATCTGTGGGAAGTTGGTCTGTGCCACGATGAAACTGGAGGTAAGGGGTGGGGCTGAGTGGATTTGAGACATCAAATGGGTGTCTGATACACCCACGTGTGTATGGATTCTTCATTTTAACCAAGGTCATCAGTTCTGTTCATCTATTTGTCTGTCCTTGTGTCAACACCATACTGACTTAATTATTACAACTTTATGATAGTTCTTGATGTCCAATGGAGTAAGTCCTATCATGTTGTCTTTAAGATTGTCTTGGCCTTTTGCATTTATTTCTCTATCAGTTTGAGTCAGCTTATACAATTCCATAAAAAATAAATAAAACTCTGCTGGAATTGCTTGGATGCAATGACCAGTTTGAGGAGAATTGACATCTTTACAATATTCAATCTTTCAACCTATAAACATGATACAGCCACCTACTATTTTGGTCTTTTTTTTAAAAGATTTTATTTATTTATTTGAAGAGCGAGAAAGAGAGAGAGAGAGAGAGCATGAGTGGGGGGCAGAGGGAGAAGGAGAAGCAGACTCCCCGCTGAGCAGGGAGCCCAACGTGGGGCTCAGTCCCAGAACCCCGAGATCATGACCTGAGCCAAAGGAAGACGCTTAACCGACTGAGCCCCCCAGGTGCCTCTATGTTGGTCTTTCTTAATTCCACTCGATGCTATAATTTCCTGTGCAAAATTCTGCAGATATTTTGTTAGACTTATCCTGAGATATTTTGAAAATGCTTGTCGATACCGGTATGATACCAGTTTTAAATTTCCATTTTCTGATGATACATAGAAATACACTTGATTTTTCTATATGGACCATATACCCAGCAATTTTGGCAAGCTTCTAGTTTGATTCCTTTGGGTTTTCTGTGTATGTAATCATGTTATCTGCGGATATGACCGTTGTATTATTTTTTTGAATCTTATAGGATTCCTTTCTCCTGCATTACTGAGTTGCTAGTACCTCCAGGGCAATGTTAAATAAAAGCGGTAACAGTGGACAGCCTTGCCTTGTTCCTGATTTTAGGAGAAAAACATTGAGCATTTCACCACTCAGAATATTAGCTGTAGGTTTACTATACTGTTATATTCTGATTCAGTATGATACTAGCTGTAGGCTTATGGCATATGTATCAGCTTGAAGGTCTCTTCCAGATTTGGTGAGTTGGTTTTTTTTTTTTAAATAATAGATAGGTGTTGAATTTTGGCAAATGCTTTTTCCACATTTATTAACATGATCTTGTTTCCCTTATTAATAGAAAGGATAACACTGATTTTCAAATATCAAACTAATGCTGCACCTCTGGGATAAATCCTACTTGTTTATGTGTATTATCCTTCTAAAATACTGCTAAACTCAATTAGGTGTTTTGTTAAAGAATTTTTTTTCATTTAGATATTGTTCGATGGTTTTCTTTAAACATCTTTGTCAGATTTTGGTACCAGTGTTACACTGGCTTCATAAAACCAGTTTGGATATATGCTCCTTTCTTCTCTATTTTCTGTTAAGAGTTTGGGTAAAATAATTTCCTCCTTAAATGTGTGA